AATATAAGTTATTTACTACGTGAGTGAAAAATAGATTGCATTTATTTAAACCCAATCCAATTTAACTCAACCCATCTATTTGCCATCTTTAGATAAAAATAATCACAATATTGGTAAATTATTCACAAAAATAATATATTTTTGATTGTAAAATTACATATAAAAATACCTACTAAAATAATAAAAGTCAAAGTACAGTACCAAAATTCTTTCTTAGTTACCGTAATTGAGTCCTTTTTTATAACGTCCAAAAGCTTCTGATAGAATCAAAGTCTACCAGAGAATGATAGAGGCGTTGTCAAAGGCCTTTCCCGATTTCCTCTTTGATCTATCAAAATAGTGAATTTTTCCACCATCATCGCCGACATCGTTATCGTCATCGTCATCATGGTCATCGTCATACTAATCATAATTAGCCACCATAAAACCAACTTCATGTTGCTACACACATGGGTTCCAACTTCCAACTAAAAGGAATTGACAGTGAATATACATGGATGCCATACCTTTCCTTCTTTGACAGTAGCGAATACAACCCAAACTCATAGTTTTTTAGGGCTTGGTCCTGTCCATGACTGCTGAATGGAAGCCGTAACCAACATTTTTTTGTCGTGAATCTAATTTGAAAACTTCCTACGTTTTAATTATTTGATTGTTAGTGAACTTCGTATTCTTTTGACTAATTAACATCTACAGGAACCAGTGAGTACAGTAATGAAGCATAGTCACACCTATGTATATTTATTGCACCAAAAAATAAGGTGATCAGATAATTGGGGCATGTAAATTAATCAAACTGGTCTGCATCAGATTGTTCGGACTTGGCCCGAGTTGTGATGAGAATAAATTATTCTTTTCAAAATTTGCTCGTTAATTTTTAATTCAAGTTCAAACTCATCTCTTCTTATCAAATAAAACAAGTTTGAGCTTGCATTTGAGTTTAAACTTGTGTGCAAGATGAAATTTGACATGTTTATATTTGTATAGGTAATGCGTGCATAATATGGTGGATACGATATATATTATATTACTCCTTAAATATCAAGTATTATTCATGTAAATACTTGACTTTAATGAGCCAAATAAATCATTGCTTGAACTCAACTCATTTGCTAAACAAACTTCGACCTCAATTTGATTGATAAATGAATAAATTTAACTGAACTTCTATAAATTTATTAAATAAAAATATATTCTAAAAGTTTAAGTTATTAGAGATAGTATAATTTAAATATTTATACTTCAACACGCGTCCTCATGTGGAGACTAGATTATGAAGCCTGACACGTGAATTTATTTTTAATAATTATCTCCTGGTGATGCACAAAATTGGATTTATGTGCAATCAAATCAGTCAAGTGTAGGATGCAAGTAATTAATGAAAATAAAAGACAATGATTAAGTAGTTGGGTTCGGGTGACTTAACCACTGAAAGCAGCGATGGTAGCCGGAAAACTTTATTAATTATAGAATAAAGTAATAGGTGAGAGAGAGCATGAGCAAGCTCAAGGTGTGGTGAGAGAGGGAGCAAAAGTACACTTTAGGTGATGTGTGTGTGATCTTTGTGTGAGAGATACTTGTTTCTCTCTCATGTGTAAAGGGCTTACAATTTATAAGCATAGAGCCCTAACTGAAGCGGCGATGTGAAGGTCAGACTACTAATCTTTCGGGGAGCATAGCTACAATTAAGGATATGTGCTATCTTCGAGTAATGNTGTGATCTTTGTGTGAGAGATACTTGTTTCTCTCTCATGTGTAAAGGGCTTACAATTCATAAGCATAGAGCCCTAACTGAAGCGGCGATGTGAAGGTCAGACTACTAGTCTTTCGGGGAGCATAGCTACAATTAAGGATATGTGCTATCTTCGAGTAATTGCTATCTTGATATTTACTTTCCACATGCGTTGATCTTCCTAGACTCTTGACCTTTGGATTAGATTGAGGTAATTAGTTGAGCTTGACCTACCTTTTGATGATTTGAGCTCAACCCATAAACTAGGCTCAGATTTGGTCTAAATCTAGGCTCGTCATTTGTCCCCCATGCCCCAAACCTTAGTAGTGATACGAGGTTTGAGGGCATGAGTGAGCTCCTTCATTTGGGTAGACCAATGTACCTTGTTCCACACGGTGGCTTCTTCTGTTCAACTTTCCTCTCCATTGCATTTTTGAAGCTTATTTCCTCGTTTAGTAGCCCACAAGCAATAGAAGATGAAGAAAGACATGGACACTTATGCGTGAGGAGATGAAGATGCTTTGGCGAGTGGCACCTTGGAAAGGGAGAAGGGGCACCATGGAGATGAACTAGGGCGATGTCATAGATGATCCCATGGTTGATAGATCAATGGTGTAGGCTCTCTATTTAACTAGGATGACAACTTCCTCTCATCCCAAGAAAGCAAGATCTGATGGCCCCAGCGCTTTCCAACTTAGGTCAATGGCCTTACTATTTATCAGAAAGTGGGGTCTGATAGTGTCCCCGCTTCTTCTCAGCATGTGACCTTTTGAGTCCTAGGGTTAGTTGTAGGACTACTTTAGAGATTGAGACTCCTACACAAACTTCACTAAGACCAGAGCTCTGTATAATTGTCTTGCAGTAATGGACCGGTGTCTATGCTGCAGGATGTGAATTTTGCCAAGGAGCATCTTTGGAGGANATCTTCCTAGACTCTTGACCTTTGGATTAGATTGAGGTAATTAGTTGAGCTTGACCTGCCTTTTGATGATTTGAGCTCAACCCATAAACTAGGCTCAGATTTGGTCTAAATCTAGGCTTGTCATTTGTCCTNCCTTTGGATTAGATTGAGGTAATTAGTTGAGCTTGACCTACCTTTTGATGATTTGAGCTCAACCCATAAACTAGGCTCAGATTTGGTCTAAATCTAGGCTCGTCATTTGTCCCCCATGCCCCAAACCTTAGTAGTGATACGAGGTTTGAGGGCATGAGTGAGCTCCTTCATTTGGGTAGACCAATGTACCTTGTTCCACACGGTGGCTTCTTCTGTTCAACTTTCCTCTCCATTGCATTTTTGAAGCTTATTTCCTCGTTTGGTAGCCCACAAGCAATAGAAGATGAAGAAAGACATGGACACTTATGCGTGAGGAGATGAAGATGCTTTGGCGAGTGGCACCTTGGAAAGGGAGAAGGGGCACCATGGAGATGAACTAGGGCGATGTCATAGATGATCCCATGGTTGATAGATCAATGGTGTAGGCTCTCTATTTAACTAGGATGACAACTTCCTCTCATCCCAAGAAAGCAAGATCTGATGGCCCCAGCGCTTTCCAACTTAGGTCAATGGCCTTACTATTTATCAGAAAGTGGGGTCTGATAGTGTCTCCGCTTCTTCTCAGCATGTGACCTTTTGAGTCCTAGGGTTAGTTGTAGGACTACTTTAGAGATTGAGACTCCTACACAAACTTCACTAAGACCAGAGCTCTGTATAATTGTCCTGCAGTAATGGACCGGTGTCTATGCTGCAGGATGTGAATTTTGCCAAGGAGCATCTTTGGAGGATTATGACACCCTCGGATATTAGAGAGATCGACTCTTTGGGTCATGAGAGTATCATCGATAGCGCAATGAAGGGCTTTGCTATGGTACCCCCCTTTTTTTTTTCCCTGTGCAACCTTTTCTTCTGCATGGTTTGGTTATACTAACATTCTTACTTTTTGGATATTCGCAGATGGCTGCGACTTTTACATGCTTTTGAGGACGTTCAAACTTGATGAGGTGTCGAGAGCTTTTGGCAAAAGAGAGATAGGCATCAGGCTGTTGAGGAGCAATTAAGATTGACTCATGAGAGAACAACACCTCTTGAGGCCAAGCTTTTGGAGACCGAGGTTGCTTTCATGAGAGTAAAGGTAGAGTGAGGCCAAGCTTCTGGGAGACCGAGGCTACTTGTGTGAAAGCAGAGGTAGAGTGAGAGTGAGACCAAGCTTCTAGCAACTCATGACAGAGACACTAAACTGCAGACATAGGCTGCTTGTATGAGAGTAGAGACAAAGTGAGGTTGATCTTTTACCGACTTGTGAAAGAGGCGCTAAGTTGGAGACATATGCTTCTTAAGAACAAAAGTAGAGTGAGGCCAACCTTTTGGCGACTAGTGAGAAAGGCGCTAAGCTGGAGACATAGGTTGCTTAAGAGTAGAAGCAGGATTAGGCCAAACTTTCTGACGACACGTGAGAGAGCCACTAAGCTAGAGAATGAGACTGCTTGCATGAGATCAGAGGCAGAATGAGGCAAAGTTTTTGGCGAATCGTGAGAGAGCTGTTAAGATGGACACATAGGCTGTTGAGTGCATCTAGCAACTTGTAAGAGAGGCGTTATGTTGGAGACATAGGCTACTTGAGAGCAGAGGCAGGAGTAGGCCGAGCATGAATCGGGAGGCTTTCTCCTAAGTGGTGAATAGTAGGAGAGAGAGGGCAATGAGGGTACCTAGAGGGCATCGGTAGGATAGAGCCAGCAAGCATGTGCGTCGATCATGGGAGGCGAGGCTCCCTGAGATGCCAAGAAGGGTGACGTCTTCCACAAGAGGCACTACTGGACAAGATGGGTATGCGATACGGCGGTGTGCCCAGACAGGTGTCTTGGCAGGTGTCAAGGCAGACAAGGTAAGGGTATTATCCTTAGGGCTTCAAAGGTTAGTATATGTGGATTTGGCTTATTCCTTTATTATCTTTTCCATTCCATAAGCCATTGAGGGAGGTTGCAGGAGGGGAGCGTGAAGGCAAGTGGGAGGATGACAGAATCGATGACTGATGTCATAGGTGATGGTGCCAGAAAGGGTTGAGTGACGCAAGAATAAAGGCTTGCAGGGCGTTGGTCGCTGTGAACTACTAGATGGCGCAGGTAGGGCTAGAGCTTGCCAGGGCGACGCTCATGGTAGGGCAGGCTTTGGCGCCAATGGAGTTAGGGCTGGTCTGGGCGACGATAAGCAGCTGGGCAGTGACGTCACACCAACTCCAGGGTAGCATTAGGCAACGCCAGAACACGTTGGTCGATGCCTAGAGGGTTCGGGGATGCTCTGGACTCTAGGGACGCGCTGGGCAATGCTTGGGATGGGCAAGGCGCTAGGGAAGCACTAGGAGATGCCAAGCGAGGCAGGTTGGACAAGGTAGGATGGGCAACGCCTGGTAGGCGTAGAGTTACAGGAGGCATGCTGGTGGTGCCAGGCTGGGCACTAGTGCTGCGGTACGGGTGATGGGCGCCTTGATATTGGGGCGCCGGGTGGAGTATTAGAAAATCATAAAGAAACGCTAGAACTTTGAATGACCATAACTTTACACTCGATTGTCTGTTTGAGGCGAATATTTTTTGAATCCGTGTATTTTTTCAAGATCTCCAACAATCAGACAGCCTATGGTTGTTTGAGAACCACATTTTCTTCAAAAAATGCTTGTTTCTCATTGAATTCGAATTTTAACCATAAATTAATGTAGAAGTAGAATTTTTTCATGTTTACTTTTTGTTGGTGGTTGCGGGACCTCGTCATGATGTGGTGGGNTGAATCCGTGTATTTTTTCAAGATCTCCAACAATCAGACAGCCTATGGTTGTTTGAGCACCACATTTTCTTCAAAAAATGCTTATTTCTCATTGAATTCGAATTTTAACCATAAATTAATGTAGAAGTAGAATTTTTTCATGTTTACTTTTTGCTGGTGGTTGCGGGACCTCGTCATGATGTGGTGGGTCATTTTCTGCTTGGTAGTTTGTGGATCTGGTTGTAGTTGTTATTTAAGGAACAAAGACTGTAAGGTGGAAATCGAATCGTTCCCATAGACGANATCTGGTTGTAGTTGTTATTTAAGGAACAAAGACTGTAAGGTGGAAATCGAATCGTTTTCATAGACGGNTTCAAACTTGATGAGGTGTCGAGAGCTTTTGGCAAAAGAGAGATAGGCATCAGGCTGCTGAGGAGCAGTTAAGATTGACTCATGAGAGAACAACACCTCTTGAGGCCAAGCTTTTTGAGACCGAGGTTGCTTTCATGAGAGTAAAGGTAGAGTGAGGCCAAGCTTCTGGGAGACCGAGGCTACTTGTGTNGCGTTAAACTGATGATGCGAAAAATTAGATTTATGCGCAATCAAGTCAGTCAAGTGTAGGANACAACACCTCTTGAGGCCAAGCTTTTTGAGACCGAGGTTGCTTTCATGAGAGTAAAGGTAGAGTGAGGCCAAGCTTCTGGGAGACCGAGGCTACTTGTGTGAAAGCAGAGGTAGAGTGAGAGTGAGGCCAAGCTTCTAGCAACTCATGACAGAGACACTAAACTGCAGACATAGGCTGCTTGTATGAGAGTAGAGACAGAGTGAGGTTGATCTTTTACCGACTTGTGAAAGAGGCGCTAAGTTGGAGACATGCTTCTTAAGAACAAAAGTAGAGTGAGGCCAACCTTTTGGCGACTAGTGAGAAAGGCGCTAAGTTGGAGACATAGGTTGCTTAAGAGTAGAAGCAGGATTAGGCCAAACTTTCTGACGACACGTGAGAGAGCCACTAAGCTAGAGAATGAGACTGCTTGCATGAGATCAGAGGCAGAATGAGGCAAAGTTTTTGGCGAATCGTGAGAGAGCTGTTAAGATGGACACATAGGCTGTTGAGTGCATCTAGCAACTTGTAAGAGAGGCGTTATGTTGGAGACATAGGCTACTTGAGAGCAGAGGTAGGAGTAGGCCGAGCATGAATCGGGAGGCTTTCTCCTAAGTGGTGAATAGTAGGAGAGAGAGGGCAATGAGGGTACCTAGAGGGCATCGGTAGGATAGAGCCAGCAAGCATGTGCGTCGATCATGGGAGGCGAGGCTCCCTGATATGCCAAGAAGGGTGACGTCTTCCACAAGAGGCACTACTGGACAAGATGGGTATGCGATATGGCGGTGTGCCCAGACAGGTGTCTTGGCAGGTGTCAAGGCAGACAAGGTAAGGGTATTATCCTTAGGGCTTCAAAGGTTAGTATATGTGGATTTGGCTTATTCCTTTATTATCTTTTCCATTCCATAAGCCATTGAGGGAGGTTGCAGGAGGGGAGCGTGAAGGCAAGTGGGAGGATGACAGAATCGATGACTGATGTCATAGGTGATGGTGCCAGAAAGGGTTGAGTGACGCAAGAATAAAGGCTTGCAGGGCGTTGGTCGCTGTGAACTACTAGATGGCGCAGGTAGGGCTAGAGCTTGCCAGGGCGACGCTCATGGCAGGGCAGGCTTTGGCGCCAGTGGAGTTAGGGCTGGTCTGGGCGACGATAAGCAGCTGGGCAGTGACGTCACGCCAACTCCAGGGTAGCATTAGGCAACGCCAGAACACGTTGGTCGATGCCTAGAGGGTTCGGGGATGCTCTGGACTCTAGGGACGCGCTGGGCAATGCTTGGGATGGGCAAGGCGCTAGGGAAGCACTAGGAGATGCCAAGCGAGGCAGGTTGGACAAGGTAGGATGGGCAACGCCTGGTAGGCGTAGAGTTACAGGAGGCATGCTGGTGGTGCCAGGCTGGGCACTAGTGCTGCGGTACGGGTGATGGGCGCCTTGATATTGGGGCGCCGGGTGGAGTATTAGAAAATCATAAAGAAACGCTAGAACTTTGAATGACCATAACTTTACACTCGATTGTCTGTTTGAGGCGAATATTTTTTGAATCCGTGTATTTTTTCAAGATCTCCAACAATCAGACAGCCTATGGTTGTTTGAGAACCACATTTTCTTCAAAAAATGCTTGTTTCTCATTGAATTCGAATTTTAACCATAAATTAATGTAGAAGTAGAATTTTTTCATGTTTACTTTTTGTTGGTGGTTGCGGGACCTCGTCATGATGTGGTGGGTCATTTTCTGCTTGGTAGTTTGTGGATCTGGTTGTAGTTGTTATTTAAGGAACAAAGACTGTAAGGTGGAAATCGAATCGTTCCCATAGACGACGTTAAACTGATGATGCGAAAAATTAGATTTATGCGCAATCAAGTCAGTCAAGTGTAGGATGCAAGTAATTAATGAAGCAATTAATAATAAGAGACAAAAATTGAGTGGTTGAGTCTGGGTGACCTAACCATTAAAGGCAGCGACAGTGGACAAAGAATTTTATTAATGATAGAATAAAGTAGTACGTGAGAGACAACATGAACAAGCTCAAGGTGTGGTGANAGACAGCCTATGGTTGTTTGAGAACCACATTTTCTTCAAAAAATGCTTGTTTCTCATTGAATTCGAATTTTAACCATAAATTAATGTAGAAGTAGAATTTTTTCATGTTTACTTTTTGTTGGTGGTTGCGGGACCTCGTCATGATGTGGTGGGTCATTTTCTGCTTGGTAGTTTGTGGATCTGGTTGTAGTTGTTATTTAAGGAACAAAGACTGTAAGGTGGAAATCGAATCGTTCCCATAGACGACGTTAAACTGATGATGCGAAAAATTAGATTTATGCGCAATCAAGTCAGTCAAGTGTAGGATGCAAGTAATTAATGAAGCAATTAATAATAAGAGACAAAAATTGAGTGGTTGAGTTTGGGTGACCTAACCATTAAAGGAAGCGACAATGGACAGAGAATTTTATTAATGATAGAATAAAGTAGTACGTGAGAGGCAACATGAACAAGCTCAAGGTGTGGTGAGAGAGAGAGAGCAAGAGTATGCTAAAGGTGATGTGCGTGTGATCTCTGTGTGAGTGATAGTTGTCTCTCCCTCATGTGTAAAAAGGTTACAATTTATAGGCACAGAGCCCAAACTGAGACGGTGACGTGAAGGTCAGGCTACTAGTCTTTCAAGGATGATAGCTATAATTAAAGATAAGTGCTAGCTTCGAGTAATGTCTATCCCGATGTTTATACCTCACGTGCGTTGATCCTCCTAAACTCTTGACTTTTGGATTAGACTAAGGTCATTAGTTGAACTTGACTTACCTTTTGATGATTTGCGCTCAACCTATGAATTGGGTCTAGACCTAGTCTAAATCTAGGCTCGTCATCTCCTGTTATGATATTATGTTAAACAACTATATACTCCCAAAGTTGAAGTTGTTAGAAAGATTGTAATTTAAATATTTATATTTCAACATTTCATAAACAATTTGGTTAGGTTAGCTCCCCCCCCCCCCCCGCCGAAAAAAAAATGACTCACTTTTGCATTTTATTGTTTTTTGTTTTTGTTTTTTTTGCTACAAAGTATTTACTGACTACTCATTCGAACTTGAATACTAATCACCGTAGGCTGAACGAGTTTAAAACATATACCAAGAAGAGTGCTCGACTCTAAAAAGTATAAAAAATGTTGAACCGGGATCTCTAAATTATCATATACCCAAGGTGTTACTTTTGCATTCATTATTTGTTTATCCCATCAAATGGCTACTATTTAAAATGGTACAAAACTGTGTGGAGCACGATGAGACGCAACGCTGCAGAAGGGTCTGATCAGGTGAAAGTTTTTACCATAGAAATAGGGACAAAAATTAGACCAGGACCACTGAGCTCCATGACTAGTCTAAATCCAACTCACAATGCGAAAAACATCGAGTTACCAACAAAGACGACACTTAAGGTGGCACCCAATTAAGGAAATCTTTCTAGATATTGTGTGACAGTTGTGAAGGAACAAGACAAAACCTCCCACCAGGAGAGAGAGAGATGATGATGATGGCTGAACATATCAAGCAATACATGCGGTTGGCTTTTGCTCAATCCTGGAAATTAAAGTCGGGATATTTAATTTGTTCAATTCATACCTCCCTTGGGTCTACAAAAAGAGCTCTTGTTGCTTGTGGGGTTCTTGTCAATTCATAGAGGCTGTTCCTCTCACTGTTTTTCAAGGCTTTTATGCACCACAAGTCCTCCGGACATGAGAGTAACTTCCAATGCGGGATGTGAAGTTTCACGGCGTCGCCGCCACCGACCTCCGTGACCACCACCTTGCAGTCCTTACAATTTGAAGCCATGTTGTGAACAAATTTGCAAAGAGTCCAAACCAACTTGCCCGAAAATGGACCCTCTCGATGCAATCCATACATGAAGTAAAATCCAAAAGGGTGGAAAAAATCTGGCAGAGAAAACATTTTCAAGCAAGGAAATGCCTTGTGGATCAATCTCGAACACTTGGCATATAAAAGGCAAGTTAAGGGTGCTTTGCCTATTCTTAGCTTGAACAGTTCTCCACTGTTCCAAACACTAAGCATTGCCCAGCTGTTTGGAACTCTACCATCTGATCCAAATTCACCTGATGATAATTCACCTCGAGGATAGGCCACCCATGTGCCCAAACTTAGCTTGTTTCTGAGTATTTTGTCAATATCATTGGGAAAAAACTCGGTTGAACCCATGAATTTTCTATACAGAAACTCAGCTTGTTCTACCTTGAGCTTAGTAATTTCGATGTTATATGAGATTTGGAACGAGGGACTGTTGACAGGATGTACGAGGATTGCCGGAGTTCTGAAGTTGACGTACCCGAGCTTGTCCACAAAAAGCTTCACGGAGGCTTGATTATTTTTCTCGGTGGCCATGTAGGCATAATCAACTTGGTTGGCAATGAACCATTGTTCTAAATGGTGCACTAGGGTTGAGCCAATCCCTTGTCTCCGGTGAAGGGGCGAGACCCTTAGGCCTAAGATATAACCCACCTTGGCTTGGTCCTTTGGGGGTTTTCGAACAGTGGCAACCTTTATAGAGCCTTGAATGACACCAACTAGTTCATTGTTGGACTCAGCTACCTAACAAAAGAGTTTTTAAGTTTGTGTTGATAAGACATCCATGTAAACAAGAAGGTAATGTAAGAGTGAAAAAAAATGGGAGAGAGAGAGAGAGAGAAGAAATGGGATTTAGTGGTACCAGCATCTTATACATCGGACTGTTTCGGATTCTACAGATGGGGTCACCCATAGTATCCGTGAAGAGAAAAACATGCTCGGCTGGCCCTACCTCACACCTTCTTTCAAGATCTTCCACTCGAGTTCTATCAATTTGCCCATTGTAGCTTCTTACCTTAATCTCTCCAAATGCCATTTTTCTACAAAATATTTGCACCCAAAACACCAGGAACAATAAAGGGTTCTTGACTTATAGTGCTAGGTTAGTGAAAGAGTGATTGGAACAACGCAATGTTTTATAGGACAGAGAAATGAAGGCATGTATAGAAGGCTGCAGGGGTATTATAGAGCTGCTTTAAAAACTGTTGGAGAGAGAAAATGTTATGGAATTCATATTGGGGGGTCATGGTTTATATATAAGGTGGGAATTGGGAAATGTTTCTCTCAAATCATCAACATCAACCTAAACCTCAACAATGATAGTAGACAAAAGGTGAATAAGTGTAGAATGTGTTTTTTGTCTTTAGCTTTTGCCATTGAACTTAATTAGACTATCCACATTAGGATAACCTCACGCTCACGCCAGGGTGCACGCCTAAGCATGTGTTGGTGGCCGACCTCCATTCGGTTTTACCCATATTAATCAACCCATTATTCAACAAACCTACTTGCTCTCTATGGCTGATATCATTTCGTGTAATGTACATACCACTATACTTGGGCAACTTTAGACACCATATGCAAAGCTACACAAAATTGTTGAGAAAATAGCGGGTTAAGTTTAATCATAATTGATTCGGGTGGTAAATAATTGAACTTGTTAGATATGTCAAATAAATAGATCTATACGAACCGTGTAATCACGACATATATAAGTTTAGATCTGAGTCGATCTGAATTTGATCAAACATGATTAGAAGTAGTTGAAGAATAAATTTAACAAATTTTAACACAACAAAACTTATATACAAGACAACCCTTTGACAGTGCTAACCCCGCCAACCCCATAAAATCCCCTTCCATACAATTCTCAAAGTACCTAAGTATCTTAGAATCGGACCCAAGTTTTTTAATTACTAGGAAGGGATTAACATGTGGTGGCACTAGAGGATGTGATCCAGGGGCGGAGTCATCCTTGGACCAGGGTGGACATGTACCCACCTCAAATTTTTTTTTTTTGACATTAAATATATTTTTTAAAATAAAATTTAGATATATTTAATTGTGCTTACCCTCAATTTTTTTTTTTTACATTAGATATATACATTTTAAAACAAAATTTAGACATATTAAATTGTGTCTACCTTATTATTGTGTTATTGTGATATCGATTAAGATAGACGGTTACTTAAATAGTAATTAATTTTTAAATAATGTTATTGAAACTAATACATTTTAATATTAAATCTAGTAGTGAGTTCCTACACTTAATAACGTCTACTATCCATCAAATGATTACAAATTATTGAGTTCCTACCAATTAAATTTTGAATTTTTTTTGGGTTCAGATATAAAATTAAATTTCGAATTAGATGCAATTACTATTATTCTTAAATTTTTAGACACATACATGTTCGAATAATTATTAGACATATTGTGGTCATTTTTCCAAATTATAGGATTATTTTGTTATTGTATAAAAATGAGTGTCATTATGTAATAAATTACAGGGTAATAAATAAAAGACTGTTATTACCATTTTGTATATAAAAAAATATATTTATTGAT